ATGTGTATCACTACGAATGAGATCCAACGAACTATTTTCATTGGGTGTGTAACCATATAAGGTTTTATTCATGTAAACAGAACAATAATTTATTCTCTTACTTAAATGAATAACCATATTACAATAAACATGATCAAATCATATTCATGCTCAACGCAAACACCAAATAACACTTATTTAGGTTCAACACTAATCCCGAAAGTATAGTGAGTGTGCGATGGTGATCATATCAATCTTGGAACCACTTCCAACACACATCGTCACTTCACCCTTAACTAGTCTCTGTTTATTCTGCAACTCCCGTTTCGAGTTACTAATCTCAGCAACTGAACTAGTATCAAATACTGAGGGGTTGCTATAAACACTAGTAAAGTACACATCAATAACATGTATATCAAATATACTTATGTTCACTTTGCCATCCTTCTTATCCACCAATTACTTGGGGTAGTTCCGCTTCCAGTGACCAGTCCCTTTGCAGTAGAAGCACTTAGTCTCAGGCTTAGGACCAGACTTGGGCTTCTTCACTTGAGCAGCAACTTGCTTGCTGTTCTTCTTGAAGTTCCCCTTTTTACCTTTGCCCTTTTCTTGAAACTAGTGATCTTGTCAACCATCAACACTTGATGCTCTTTCTTGATTTCTACCTTCATCGATTTCTTCATCATGAAAAGCTCGGGAATCGTTTCTGTTATCCCTTGCATATCATAGTTCATCACGAAGTTCTACTAACTTGGTGATGGTGACTAGAGAATTCTGTCAATCACTATTTTATCCAGAAGATTAACTCCCACTTGATTCAAGCGATTGTTGTACCCAGACAATCTGAGCACATGCTCACTAGTTGAGCAATTCTCCTCCATCTTTTAGCTATAGAACTTGTTGGAGACTTCATATCTCTTAACTCGGGTATTTGCTTGAAATATTAACTTCAACTCCTGGAACATCTCATATGGTCCATGACGTTCAAAACGTCTTTGAAGTCCCGATTCTAAGCCATTAAGCATGGTGCACTTAAACTATCAAGTAGTCATCATATTGAGCTAGCCAAACGTTCATAACGTCTGCGTCTGCTCCTGCAATAGGTCTGTCACCTAGCGGTGCATCAAGGACATAATTCTTCTGTGCAGCACTGAGGATAAACCTCAGATTACGGATCCAATCCGCATCATTGCTACTAACATCTTTCAACACAATTTTCTCTAGGAACATATCAAAATAAACATATGAAAGCAACAACGCGAGCTATTGATCTACAACATAGATATGCTAATACTACCAGGACTAAGTTCATGATAAATTAAAGTTCAATTAATCATATTACTTAAGAACTCCCACTTAGATAGACATCCCTCTAATCCTCTAAGTGATCATGTGATCCAAATCAACTAAACCATGTCCGATCATCACGTGAGATGGAGTAGTTTCATTGGTGAACATCACTATGTTGATCATATCTACTATATGATTCACGTTCGACCTTTCGGTCTCCGTGTTCCGAGGCCATATCTGTATATTCTTGGCTCGTCAAGTATAACCTGAGTATTCCGCGTGTGCAACTATTTTGCACCCGTTGTATTTGAACGTCGAGCCTATCACACCCGATCATCACGTGGTGTCTCAGCACGAAGAACTTTCGCAATGGTGCATACTCAGGGAGAACACTTTTACTATGATAATTTAGTGAGAGATCATCTTATAATGCTACCGTCAATCAAAGCAAGATAAGATGCATAAAAGGATAAACATCACATGCAATCAATATAAGTGATATGATATGGCCATCATCATCTGGTGCTTGTGATCTCCATCTTCGAAGCACCGTCGTGATCACCATCGTCACCGGCGCGACACCTTGATCTCCATCGTAGCATCGTTGTCGTCTCGCCAATTTTATGCTTCCACGACTATCGCTACCGCTTAGTGATAAAGTAAAACATTACAGCGCGATTGCATTGCATACAATAAAGCGACAACCATATGGCTCCTGCCAGTTGCCGATAACTCGGTTACAAAACATGATCATCTCATACAATAAAATTTAGCATCATGTCTTGACCATATCACATCACAACATGCCCTGCAAAAACAAGTTACACGTCTTCTACTTTGTTGTTGCAAGTTTTACGTGGCTGCTACGGGCTTAAGCAAGAACCAACCTTACCTACGCATCAAAACCACAACGATAGTTTGTCAAGTTGGTGTTGTTTTAACCTTCGCAAGGACCGGGCGTAGCCACACTCGGTTCAACTAAAGTTGGAGAAACTGTCACCCGCTAGCCACCTTTGTGCAAAGCACGTCGGGAGAACCGGTCTCGCGTAAGCGTACGCGTAATGTCGGTCCGGGCCGCTTCGTCCAACAATACCGCCAAACCAAAGTATGACATGCTGGTAAGCAATATGACTTATATCGCCTACAACTCACTTGTGTTCTACTCGTGCATATAACATCAACACATAAAACCTAGGCTCGGATGCCACTGTTGGGAGCGTAGTAATTTCAAAAAAAAATCCTACGCACACGCAAGATCATGGTGATGCATAGCAACGAGAGGGGAGAGTGTTGTCTACGTACCCTCGTAGACCGAAGTGGAAGCGTTGACGCAACGTAGAGGAAGTAGTCGTACGTCGTCCCGATCCGACCGATCCAAGCACTGTTACTCCAGCACCTCCGAGTTCTTGGCACACGTTCAGCTCGATGACGATCCCCGGACTCCGATCCAGCAAAGTGTCGGGGAAGAGTTCCATCAGCACGACGGCGTGGTGACGATCTTGATGTACTACCATCGCAGGGCTTTGCCTAAGCACCGCTACAATATTATTGAGGACTATGGTGGAAGGGGGCACCGCTCACGGCTAAGAATATGATCACGTGGATCAACTTGTGTCTCTAGGGGTGCCCTCTGCCTCCGTATATAAAGGATCAAAGGGGGGGTGCGGCCGGCCAGGAGAGGGCGCGCCAGGAGGAGTCCTACTCCCTCCGGGAGTAGGATTCCCCCCCTTTCCTAGTTGGAATAGGATTCGGGAGGGGGGGAAGAGGAGAGAGAGAAGGAAGGGGGGCGTCGGCCCCCTCTCCTTGTCCTATTCGGACTAGGGGGGAGGGGCGCGCGGCCCAGCCCTGGCCACCTCTCCTCTCTTCCACTAAAGCCCACTAAGGCCAATATACCTCCCGGGGGGTTCCGGTAACCTCCCGGTACTCCGGTAAAATCCCGATTTCACCCGGAACACTTCCGATATCCAAATATAGGCTTCCAATATATCAATCTTTATGTCTCGACCATTTAGAGACTCCTCGTCATGTCCGTGATCACATCCGGGACTCCGAACAAACTTCGGTACATCAAAATGCATAAACTCATAATATAACTGTCATCGAAACCTTAAGCGTGCAGACCATACGGGTTCGAGAACAATGTAGACATGACCGAGACACGTCTCCGGTCAATAACCAATAGCGGAACCTGGATGCTCATATTGGCTCCCACATATTCTACGAAGATCTTTATCGGTCAGACCGCATAACAACATACGTTGTTCCCTTTGTCATCGGTATGTTACTTACCCGAGATTCGATCGTCGGTATCTCAATACCTAGTTCAATCTCGTTACCGGAAAGTCTCTTTACTCGTTCCGTAATACATCATCTCACAACTAATTCATTAGTTGCAATGCTTGCAGGGCTTATGTGATGTGCATTACTGAGAGGGCCCAGAGATACCTCTCCGACAATCGGAGTGACAAATCCTAATCTCGAAATACGCCAACCCAACATGTACCTTTGGAGACACCTGTAGAGCACCTTTATAATCACCCAGTTACGTTGTGACGTTTGGTAGAACACAAAGCGTTCCTCCGGCAAACCGGAGTTGCATAATCTCATAGTCATAGGAACATGTATAAGTCATGAAGAAAGCAATAGCAACATACTAAACGATCGGGTGCTAAGCTAATGGAATGGGTCATGTTAATCAGATCATTCATCCAATGATGTGATCCCGTTAATCAAATAACATCTCTTTGTCCATGGTTAGGAAACATAACCATCTTTGATTAACGAGCTAGTCAAGTAGAGGCATACTAGTGACACTCTGTTTGTCTATGTATTCACACATGTATTATGTTTCCGTTTAATACAATTCTAGCATGAATAATAAACATTTATCATGATATAAGGAAATAAATAATAACTTTATTATTGCCTCTAGGGCATATTTCCTTCACATGCCTGACTCCCCGAAGCATCCGCTCAACTCTGTCAAACATCTTGATTTTGATGTCACCTACTCCAGCAACACGATAACCTGTGTCATCGCCCACATAGGTTAAACCAAACTCAGCAGACTTGTACGAAGAGAACCACTCCCTGTTGGGCGTCGCATGAAAAGAGCAAGCTGAATCCAACATCCATGCTTCTGCTTTTGTTGACCGCATGTTTGATACTACGAGAACATCACTACTGCTGTCTGAGTCATCACCACGAGTAGCCGCATTAGCACTTGCCCCACCCTTAAGTTCTGGGCATTCCCTCTTTATATGTCCCCAATCCTTGCACCTATAGCACTGCACCTTTTTCTTCTCCGTCTCTTGTCCCTTCCTGAGCTGATAACCTTTAACTGCCAACCCTAAACCTTGAGTACTCTCCTCTGTAGGATTCTTTTGCTTTCTCAACTCATGTCCAAGCAACGCTGCAGTGACTTCCTTATTATTAACGGTTGTCTTTCCATGTGTCAATGTAATGACCAAATGCTCATAAGACGGTGGCAACGAAACAAGAAGTAGTGCCTTATCCTCGTCCTCAATCTTCACATCCAGACGCGCCAGATCCGTGACCAACTGATTAAAGGCATTCACATGCTCCACAAGATCCGACCCCTCCTGCATCTTCTGCCCATAGAACTTTTGCTTCAAATACAGCTTATTGGTCGCTGACTTGGACATATAACGATTTGCCAACTTGTCCCAAATTCCCTTAGGAGTATCTTCATCCATGACATGATACATGACCTGATCCGCAAGACAAAGCCGTATGGTAGCGGCCGCCTGCACTTGCATATCCTCCCACGCATTGTTGTCAACCTTGGTCGGCTTCGTCTCCTGCAAACCCTTCAAGATTCCCTGCTGCGTCAGAATATCCTTGACTCTTGTCTGCCATAGACCGAAGTTATCCGTGCCATCGAATTTCTCCACATCAAATTTGGTGAACCCCGGCGCCATGTCGATCGAGCCATGATCTAACCGACCCGTTGCCGCCTGTCTGACCGCCCTTGTTTTCCTCTGCGACTCCCTCATGAAAAAGATCGCTGATCCCGTATTCCTCATCTGAAGCCACGCTGCAGCCCGCGATCTACCAAGAAATATGACTCGCACAACCTTCTCGTCTGCCCTTCAGAAAATCACTTGAAGCCTCTTACCGCAACGCGCGGATTAATTCCGCCCACAGCAACTCGTCTGCTCCACCTTTTCCCTGAACTCGCAAACAATTTCTGTTGTGTCTGCTAGCCTCTGTCGCCAGATTTTTATTTTCGCTGGATCACCTGGGCGCTACTTTTCCTTGCCTGATATGGAAATCGAGTTCGAACTGTCACCGTTTACCAGGAATCTCCAAAGTCCAAGCAAGTCCACCAGACCAGCAGTCCACCAGACCAGCACAGAACCGAACACGTATGCGCACATACTTCCAGATTTTAATCATAACTCTCGTGTAGGTAGGCTTGTCCCCTGGCGACACACATATATTTCCTTTTTTTTGAACCGCTCATGCATGTATCTCCTGGACTCCTGCGCTAACATGTACTCCTTCTGTAAACTAATATAAGAGTGTTTAGATAACTAAAATAGTGATCTAAACGCTTTTATATTAGTTTACGGAGGGAGTACTGCTGATTATTTCCTTCCTTGCGCGATGCATGCCATCCACGGAGACCTGCTGCTGCACGCCACCAAGTGTCTGGCGCGTCTCTCGTATGCAGCACAGTAACTTTCCTTTTCTCGATCCGCTCACCTCAGAAAAACTCGCCACAAATTCCGACGAACAGCTCATGCCATATCTCTGATCTTGATTCTTTGCCAGCAATCTATTCAACCCTGTCGCACGTACTCATCGACGCCAACCCTGTTGTGACAGTCGCCACCTCGCGCATCGTCTGTGCACGAGCCGTGTCGTACCCTGGCCACCCGCGTCGCTGACACAATCCGTCTGTAGTGCTGCGCCGTCGCCCTTGTACAACACCGAGTGCATCATCTCGATGCTGTCAACTCCAATCTATCCGGCCGTCCCCCACGTCTGGTCGACGGTCTGATCGCGAGCCGAATCCGTCGTCTCCCACGACGTCTTCAACAGCCACGACGCCGGTCTAATCGCCACGTCTAGCTGATCCTTACCGACCGCAGCCCATCGAATGGTCCAGGCCTTCTGTGATGCCCGGATAATTAAGTTACAGTAATACCATGTTAATGGTGCCATGTCATCATTTTCACCATGGCTAAATCCTCCTTTGATTCCACCCAGTTCAAATTCAAATCTAAAACAAAATCGAAAATAAAAGTTTTTAGATATCAAATCTAAAATGTTCACAATATTATATAAATTCACCTGATCATTGTCATGTTGGAACCAATCTCTTTTGGATTCCCACAGTGCCCCTGAAAATTTATCCAATGGACCAACAACCAATTATTTGAGCTTTTTAATTTCTAAAAATAGTTGAACACTCCCAAATGCTTTGAAACTTTGTGTACCAACCCAGGTTATTGCCTTGTATGTTTGTGCCAAGTTTTGTTTTAAAAAAACCTCTTTTAGCGGCCGAAGGAAAATAAACAAAAGGTAAAAACTAAACAAAAATAATAAAAAGGGGGCAACCCTCCCCCTCGCTGGGCCTCGGCCTAGCTGGCCTCTAACCTAACCAGGCCCAGCCCATCTTCCCCCTCCCGGTCGTCTTCTCATGTTCACGACCGCGCCCGAACAGGAGCTCGTCCCCGTCGGACCAGCCTCGCCGGCGCCGCCCCGAGGGGATAAGGGCGACGCCTCGGGCTCCCACTTGCCTCCCTCTCCCTTACACGCTCCCCTCCTAGATCCACCACTCCCTCTCCCCTCGCTCCTCTCCCCGATCTGGAGAGCTCCTGGTGCAGCCATCGTCGCTACCTCACCATCACCTTGGCCACTGGCAGCTACCCGCCGCACCTCCGTGCCCATGAGCACCACATGCATCCGCTACCCCGACTCTGACCATGTGCGTGGGCTGGGAGACACCGAAACGCTCGCTGCCTCCCCTTCGTCAACCTCCAGTCGCCGTGCTGCCACCGTCGTCTTGCTCCTCTAGGCCTTCCCCGAGCCCGCTTTAGCACATCAGCAGGAGCCCGATGAGCACCACGTCCGGCCCCTCTCCCCCCGCCCTCCTCGTAAGACGTAGTTCGCCCCCGACGCACTCGCGCTTCCGCCGCCGCGGTCGAGCTCGCCGGCATGGCCCCTGTGGCCGCAGCCCGCACCCAAGCCCGCGTGCGTGCTCAGCACCTCCGGCCGCACCCAACACACGCGCTCGCTCACTCCCACTACCCCGGCCCGTCCCGACGACCCCGCGCCCCCTGCAGACGCCCGCGTCCCCCTGCGGCCCTGGCTGCTACCGCACTGCTCCTGCTGC